TTGGTGCAGACAAAGAATCACAGAAAACGGGGCAGGGAGTTCCACGCATCACATCCAGTCTATGTCACTCTCTTCCAACATGCAGATGTTGAACCAGAGCATAACCCCAGTTGACCATCTCCTTCTTGATGTAGAATGGGCTCAGGAATGTGGGGTTTGTGAACCTTGGGAGTAAGAGAACATTTCCTCCAAAGGATTTCCACACTCAAAGCCACCATAGCATTTCTTTCCGAAGTACTTTTGTAGGTCCACAAAGGCTTAAGTCAACTGTAGAGCTCTCACTGTCCTATGAATCTTTGAATGTTGTTCTTCCCAGGAGAGATATTCAGACGGAGTTTCAAATGTTTAAGGTCATTTTGCAGAATCTTCAGATTTCCTATTCTCTTTGCATATGCTGAACTGTGATCCTCTGGGCTCTGCAAGCAAGTTTTCCCCCACATTCTCTCCATTTTAGAGGTTCTCATTGGAGTGAATTTTCTTGTGTTCTCTCAGTTGGAACAACCAGGTAAATCTTTCCCCACATTCGTCACATTCATGTGGTTTCTCTCCAGTATGAAGTTGTTGATGTTTTGTGAAGGGTAACTCAGCTGTGAAACCTATCCCACATTCTTCACAATGATAGGGATACTTCTGTGAATGTGAGTACTGATGTATGATTAAATTGCAGAGACGTGTGAAACATTTCCCACATTCATCGCATGGATACGATTTTTCTCTGGAGTGACTTTGTAGGTGTACTGTGAAGTCAGAGTGTTGGGAGAACATTTCTCCACATTGTTCGCATTGATAGGGTTTCTCTCCTGTACGAATCCTCTGAGGTACTCTGAGATCTTTGCTTTGGTTGAAGCTTTTCCCATATTCTTCCCACCTATAGGGTTTCTCCTCTGAATGACACCGCTGATGTACTTTGAAAGCTGATGGATCACTGAAACATTTCCCACATTCTTTGCATGTATAAGGTTTTTCCCCTGAGTGAACTTGTTGATGTATGATGAGGTTTGCACAGTAGCTAAACTGTTTGCCACATATGTCACATTGATAGGGATTCTCCCCTGAATGTGAGCGCTGATGTGCTATCAACTTTGAGGGAGCTCTTAAACATTTCCCACATTCTTTGCATGCATACCTTTTTTCTCCAGAGTAAATTTGTTGGTTTGCTACGAGGTTGGAGTTTTGGGGAAACATTTTCCCACATTCTTCACAGGGAAATGGTTTCCCTCCTATGTGAATTCTCTGATGTACTGTAAGATCTCTCTTCTGGTTGAAGCTTTTCCCACATTCATTGCAAGTATAAGGTTTTTCCCGAGAGTGATTTTGTTGATGTACTCTGAGACTTGAATGCCACATGAAGGTCATTCCACATTCATGACATTTGTAGGGTCTCTCCTCAGTGTGCATTATCTGATGTTGCTTAAGTCCAGACCTTCGCTCGAAGCTCTTGCCACATACTTCACATTTATACACTTCTCCTTCTGAGCGCACCGGCTGAGTGACGTGAAGAGCTGAGCTAACACTGAAGCATTTTTCAGACCCCGAGTCTTCATAAGGTTTCTCTCCTGTGGGAAATCCTGGATCTTCTGGGCTCCTTCTGGAACTCTCTCCATGCTCCAAACAGTGACACAGACTTTCCTCTGAGTGGCATGTTGGACATTTCACTGGGCTTTTCCTCTGAGGGCTCCTTAGCCCAAACTCTGAGCTCTGAAGGACATGGAGGCATCTGTTACTTGTCTTTTCCTCTTCTTCTTCATAGACAACTCCTCTCAGAGAAGGGCAAGGCTTGTTTTTCCTCTCATTTGCCTCCTTTTCCTTCTCCCTCTGCAATTCATCTCTCTTCCCACAGTTCTCGTTTTCATCCTCCATTCTTTCTGGGGATGTCCTGTGGAGTCTTCCTTCCTCCTCCTGTACATCATCTGCTGGAAGAAGGACAGAATTCATGGTGATTAGATATCTCTCCATAAGCCAATTTCCTGCTTGGCCATGAAAACTCACTGAGGGAGTGGAACTGATAAAACCCTTGAAAGCCCTATTATGGTCTCTGTTAGCTGATTCCAAAAGGCTGCCAGGAGATGTTCAAATGATTACAGACTTCAGCTCTGCTCTCAGATACAGATAGCAGCAGACACAAGTAACATCAAGGGAATGCAAGATGGTGTCAAGGAGTCTTTAGGTCCAATACAGAAGAAATCTGCTCCTTTGAAGTCTGCTACAGGCGTGATCATCCAGGACTGAGCACAGCAGATGGAACGCTGGGTGCAGCACTACGCTGAGTTATATTCCAGAGAGAATGTAGCAAGTGAAGGGGCACTAAATAACATTGAGTGCTTGTCTGTCTTGGAAGAGTTGGACAGCGAACCAACTTTAGCAAATATAAAAGCGCCCTTGGATTCCCTCACCTCTTGCAAGTTACCTCAGAAGGATAATAATAATAATAATAATAATTTATTGTCATTGTAAGTGTATACACATACAACGAAATTCACAGACACCCAGAGACCAGACACATGCACACACATAAAATTCCCAAACACTCCCCACCCACTAAAAGTCCCCCACTAAAAATACAAACATCTACACCGCAGGCCAAGTTACACAGTCCAACTAATTATTCACTACTGGTGGTCTTTAAGCTCATTATTAATTGCAATTATAGCTCTAGGATAAAAACTATTTAGAAAACGTGTGGTCCGAGTCTTAATTGTTCTATATCTTCTGCCAGATGGTAACAGTTCAAAAAAGTTATAAGCAGGATGGGAAGAGTCTCTCAGGATGCTATGTGATTTCCTTAGACAGCGGGATGTGAAGATGTCATCCAGGGTTGGTAGCTGGAGCCCGATGATATTCTGGGCAATTTTAATGGTTCTCTGTAGAGCTTTTTTGTCTGCTACAGAGCTACTCCCAAACCATGTCAGAATGCCATAGGTTAGGACACTCTCAATGGTGCTACGATAGTATGACAGAAGTAAATGCTGAGATAAATTTAACTTGCCAAGCATTCTCATACAGCCTCTTCTGTGCCTTCTTCATTAGCATGTTGGCATTTATAGTCCATGAGAGGTCCTCTGAGATGTAAGTACCCAGAAATTTAAAACTACCAACTCTCTCCACTTCCTCACCGTTTATGTACAGTGGTAAATGTACATTTCTCTTCGTCCTAAAATCAATTATGAGTTCTTTATTTTTGATGTTAAGTGTGAAATTATTTTCTTTACAAAGTATCAACCTTTGTACTTCCTTTCTATAAGCAGACTCATTGTTCTTATTTATGAGCCCCACCACTGTCGTGTCATCTGCAAATTTAATAATTGCATTGGTGTTATACAGTGGAGTGCAATCATGTGTGTACAGGGAATAGAGGAAGGGGCAGCACACAGCCCTGGGGAGCTCCTGTACTTAGTACCAGGGTAGAAGAATGGTGAGATCCCATCCTTACTGACTGTGGCCTATCTGTCAGAAAATCCTTTATCCACATGCAGATCTCCTGAGGTAATCCCAGGTTGATCATTTTAAAAAACAACCTATTTGGTAGAATGGTATTAAAAGCAGAGCTATAATCCACAAACAACAGCCTCGCATAAGTTCCCTATTGTTCTAAGTGGCTCAATACAGTATGGAGTACAATGGACACAGCATCATCAGTAGATCTATTTCTAATAACAGATGTTACAGCTACTGGTCTATAATCAATGAGAGATACCACCGCTGACTGCTTGGGGACTGGCACTATAATAGATGTCTTCAGGCAAGTGGGGACTGAACACTGCAACAAGGATAGATTGAAAATATCCGTAAAAACTCCAGCTAATTCTGCAGCACAGCCCCTAACAACTATTCCCATGATTCCATCTGGTCC